CATCTTCATCCTCCACTTCTTCAACAAGCTCAACAACTTCTTCAAGCTCCACTTCATCCTACTCCACTGTTGCAACTGATCCGGAACTAACCAACAGCAATCCAGCAATTACTGCAGTTGAACCGAATTCTCCAAACACAGTTGAAGTCATCTTTCAACGAGCTACTATCGAGCAGCCCAATAGCAATCAGCAAACTCTGCATGAAACACCCGTCAACGAGTTATCTCAACAAGAACAGTCCGTCACTAAGCCGGAACCACCACAGTTGGCTGATGCGCAAAATAACATCACCACCAGCAGTTCATCGTTGAAAGCTGGAATGGATACAGCATCAGCGATTGATGAACGTTGTTCATCTGAAACACATACGAAGGAAGAAAAAACCGAGGTTGTTCCACATATTTCGGATGAGAAATTTGAAGATAACGCGCAGAACGATGCGAAATGTACTCCACAAAAAGTAGCACCCAAAACCGAGCAACAACCATGCATGAATCCAGCTGCTATAACTGACATCCAGAATCAGAAATTGGAACCGGGCAAGCAAAACGATGAGGAGCGGGAAACGATTAGTTTGACAGATGTTACAGACACCGGTACTTCATGTACGGATGTGGCAACTGCAAGCATTGCCAAACCGAATGATCAAATACCTCAAGAATCAACCGAAAATCCTACTGAAACAACACGGTCTTCAGATGAATCAAGTCAGCAAGTTACAGAAGCTGATAAGAATGTAGAAACAATTGGAAACGAGCGCGCACCTACAGATTCAGAAACCTGTGAAGTGGAAAGTGATAATGGTCAAGTTTCAGTAGATCCGAAGGAACCGGATAAAAGAAATATCGCCAGCGAAAGCGGAACAAAATCTCCAATAGCAAACGTAGATCCGAATGGTGAAGTTGTGAGTGAGAGTACGCAAAAACAAGCTGTCGATACTGAGAATGAGGGGAATGGAGAGGAAAACGACCAACAGAATTCGACTAAAAGTAGTGATGGAACTATGAAAATGATAAATGAAGGTGAAACTGAGCTCGTTAACACGGCTCAAATTCCCAAAAATGAACTTCCTTCGGTGGTAACTAAGGAAATAGCAAAAACGAATGAATTGGATGAACTGCAGAAAAATGAAACAAGCAATGCAGTTGCAGCGACTAACAGTGAGAAAGTTGAAGATACTACTGAGAGACTTGTCAGTTCAAATGAGG